TGTATTTCTGTATTTAAATTTACATTTTCCATTACCCACATGTGCAAAATTTGTTGCAAAAGGAAAATTTAATTATATAATTTACATTTGCCATTTCCAACAGTAGTCTTAATATGTAAACTGAATACAAATTTTAACGCTTTATAAGTTGCAAAATGAAAATATATAACACAAATTGATTTGATATGTATAACATGTCCAAGCAGAAATGGTAGCAAAATGATAATTTAAATGCTATTTGTCCTAAATGCATTTAAACTGACAGTTAGAACACTTCGGATTGCATTTTCATCATGTGGGATATTTGTAGCAAAATTCAGTGCGGCTTTGAAAATGCATTCCGAGCTGAACACGCCCACCCTCCGTCAATCATTGCTTCAAGGCAGGGATTGGTGGAAACGTATTACGTTTGGATCGTTCAAAACATGGCGGCTCGAGATCTGATAAGATCGTCGAATTCACTGACTGATGAAGTGGAGCATGAACAGAGAAATATATGAAGCGTTCTCCGTGTCAGCGTCTTGAAATTAGCTGGTTTTTAAACATTTAAGGAGCCAAGCTGCTGTGTAAAGACTATAAATGGACATTACAAACATTACAATTCATCTCTTCAATATGTTCCTGGATACTTCATCTGCCAGTGAATCTTATGGTCAGCTTGGAATGCATTTTCAAAGCCGCACTGAATTTTGCTACAAATATCCCACGGCGTCATGATGAAAATGCAATCCGAAGTGTTCTAACTGTCAGTTTAAATGCATTTAGGACAAATAGCATTTAAATGATCATTTTGCTACCATTTCTGCTTGGACATGTTATACATATCAAATCAATTTGTGTTATATATTTTCATTTTGCAACTTATAAAGCGTTAAAATTTGTATTCAGTTTACATATTAAGACTACTGTTGGAAATGGCAAATGTAAATTATATAATTAAATTTTCCTTTTGCAACAAATTTTGCACATGTGGGTAATGGAAAATGTAAATTTAAATACAGAAATACATTGCTATTTTGAATATTGCGTTGTCATTTTGAATATTGCATTGCCATATTGCATTTGAATTTTGCTACCTATATGCTTCCATACAAAATGCAGTCCAAACACTTCTAAACTAATATGGTGAGCAAGTGATTTAATGCTAAGCTTATTCAAATCTGCTCATCTACATCTTGGATGGTCCAAGAGTAAATGCATTTCGGCAAGTTTTTAAAAAAAATTTAAAAAAATTTTATTGCTTAACTTTTTTTTGCATGTATGTTTTATGGCAGACGGTACACGGAGTGATGAAGATGCTGCACTTCCTCACCAGACAGAAGCGGTTCCTTGCAGCCAGCCTGGTAGTTTTTACCACCCAGCATGTGTCACTGCGTCTTGTCTGGGCCTTGAACAATATCCCTCAGGTAAACCAGGAGTAGTTAAAATATGGCATTCAGCATTTGTCTTTTCTAGGACTAGTATATTTATTCTAACCTTCTCTCTCCTCAGTTGCGGCAGGCAGTCGAAGACGGCTCCTGTTATTTTGGGACCATAGACACCTGGCTGCTGTACAAACTGACTAAAGGTGGATATTTCATTATGAAATAGAAATGTTGTCCTGTTGTATAGAAGTCATTTGAACAGTGAAAATCAGATAGCTGAGTGCACAGTATTCTGGCTGGATTCCTTTGAGAGGTAGCTGAAATTAAACCTGTTCGATCTGTAAGAGGCTCTTCAGAGTGATCTGCTCAATGAAAGCGTGCCACAGATCTGATATCTTACATCACTGACTGACACTATTCTCAGAAAGCCCACAACCCTTGACAAAGGGTGTTAAGAGTAGTTAATCATAAGCAGTCACATGTTGGTTAGTCTTGCAAATTATAATCCAATCAGTAATTATGAATTTATGGCTGTAATGGAGATACTTTATAGCATGAATGAATGAATACTTGTATTTTATTTTTAAATGTATACAGTACGCGTGTGTGTGTGTGTGTATACACAGTACATATAATATACACAGTAGACATATATTATGTAAACAAACTTTTATTTTGGATGTGATTACTCACGATTAATCGTTTGACACCCCTATTTTATTGTTTGTTTATTTGTTTGTTTTTTTGCAGGCCTGGTTCATGCTACTGATTACTCTAATGCCAGCGCAACAGCAATATTTGATTCCTATCAGGTCAGTTACAACTGTCCAATTACTATATTTGTGTAATTGCTGTTATCTGATCATTTCCATTGGATTGTGGACTTCAGTACAAACATTTAATAACAGACACTTAAAGAGAGGGTTCACCCAAAAAATGCTCTTTAATAAACAATTGCTTTGTTTGAGGAACAGGGCAAAACTTGTTCCATTTTGTCATAGAACACAACAATTGAAAGTAAATCAAAATGAATGCGCACGGTTTTCTGGTGCACAGTTTTCCATAAATGGTTTTATTTATTATCGAAAAATATATTAAAGGGGTCATATGATGCTTTTTTAAAGATCATTATTTTGTGTATTTTGTCTAATATGTTGACATGCTTTAATGTAAAAAAAACCACATTATTTTTCAAATACTGTACATTTATTGTAGTTCCTCTGTTTTATTTATCAAAGAATCCTGAAACAATGTATCATGGTTTCCACAAAATATTAAGTAACATAAGAGACTTTCATAAAGATGAAAAAATATTTCCATCCTCAGACTTTTGAACTGTAGTGTACATCACTGGAAACAGCAGGATAGGGCACGATGTGAATCATTACTCATCATGGAGCAGTGTGGCGAGTGAGAAAGGAGACAGTGATGTGTCCATTTGTCGGTCCCTATTTATATCTGTTTTCTGAATAGGCCTTTATCCGCTGGTGGGCTGGAAGATTGGTGCTGATGTTGTGTATCTGGCTGAAGGTAACGCTGCTGGAACAGGTGCTGCCATTAAATGGGCCCAAGATCTAGGTGAGGAGGAGGAGACTAATGGATTTACAAGCATGCACACATTTCTTAACTTGAATATGTATTTTTCACTACCAAAAAAAGCCATTCCAGACAGTAGATGCCCTCAAATGCTAAATTATCACTACAGTTCTTTACTGCAAGCAATGGTCACACTATGAAATTTGTAGAAAACACCAAATTTATCCCCAGAAAACCTGCAAATTCTTAGGCCATTTTATCTCAAACAGTGTTTGCAGGAAAGAAAATGTCACTTGGTTTATAAAGTACATTGGCACAAAGTTCTTAAAATGAGTTCTTCAATTATCATCTGCCTTGGTGCACAATCAGAAAACAGAAATGAGAAGGTGACTGGATATAAACCACTATCCCTTGGCATTCTATACCAATCTAAAGTAGTTAATCAGGCCTCAAAATAGAGATTCTTTCCAACTTTCTCACCATTCCAAAAGTTCCCCATCAAAGAAATAAAGGCCAAAGTCAATAGTTTTCTTCTCATGTTCTTCTGTTTCATCTCCACTATATATACTGTAGAATTGTGTTTCTGTTTCTTCGTGTTTGCACTGTAAATGTGTCATAATTTGGGATGCATGATTTGTATTAGTATTTAGTATGATTTTTGTATTAGCAATTTAGTATGATTGACAAGAAAACACATTTTAACTAAGCATGAAGGTTGAACCCTATAAACCTAACTCAAATTTGTCACCGATTCGCCAAGAAACCCCGTAAAATAGTTAAAATTTTTACAGGACTGTGTTGGACTTGGATCGGTATCAACCACAATTTTAACATCTTGTGTGATTCCTGTAATTCTCATGCCACAATTCAACAGCAATTCTGATTCTGATTTTTAGGAACAAGCAGCTCTTTGAAGTCATGCTTCGAGAAACCCGTATTCCTATCACTAAAATCAGGTGAGGGTTTCACCCTCTTTGTCTGTCGTACTGCATTGAGCTTGATCCTGCCTGTCTGAACCTTTGTGTATTGCTACACATTTACAGGGCAGATGGAGGTGTTTGCACCAATAATTTCATCATGCAACTCACAGCTGATCTGTTGGGGCGCAAGATAGAACGTCCAAGCCACTTTGACATGTCCTGCCTTGGAGCTGCTTTTGTTGCAGGACTAGGAACAGGTAAGGAACTAGCCATGTTTGAGTGCAGCAAATAAACTATTCCTAATCTAGGCTTAATCCGTTTTAACTCCGTATCATAGTTGGTAAACAAATTTCATATTTTCATCTATCATACTAAATGAGCCATAAAAACACGATGCAAATATAATACTTAACAAAAAAACACACTAGTACCTTTTTTTTCCCCTGATTTTTGCCTAAAGTTTCAATAAACATTAAAAAAAAAAGAAACGTATTTCATATGTCAGGCTTTAAATGGTTAATATGCCCATTTTATTTTGAACTGTCCTTTAGGTTACTGGAGGAACCAAAAAGAGCTGAAGAAGCTTTTAACCACTGACCAACATTTCCTTCCCCGAAGGAGTAAAGCAGATTGGGACAAGGGCGGCCCATACAGAGGTGTACTGCAGAGCTGGGAGAGGGCTCTTCAGCGCTCTATGCACTGGTACAGCCAGCCCTGATTGACCAGAATATAGGTTTCTTCTGTAAACTCCATGTTCATGTCAACAGGTTTAGGGCAGTTCTCTCTGTCACTGAGAAAAACACTTGAACAGTATGATTTCCAATCTGGATTTGGAAACATGCATATCAAAGGTTAGTTACAGTTTTGCCAAATCACGGGGGATTTTACAGATTTACAACTTGTTTGTGTAAAACCAAATCACCCAGTTGTGAATCCAGTGGTATTATGATGATGAAGCGGCAGGCTACAGCACAATTCCTACTCGTAGTATTATGATTTTGCCAATCAATAATTTAGTCATTAGGCACTAACAATCAATCAGTGCCTTAATCCAACTAGGTTTTTTTTTTTTTATATATATATATGAACAAATTAATTTATTTACCTCGCTATGTGCCTTAATGAGGTGCTTTTGTACAAGAGATCCTCAGTGAGGTGCCTCCGTTACTCATCTCCCAAAGGATGACATCTCACCCTAGAGGAGAATTGTAATTATATGTAATTTGTGTTGTTTACATAGATGGGAGTAAGTTCAACTTACTGCTCTTTATTTTGATCATACACTGAGTTAACATAGTGCATCCATTTTAGTGTATGGTAATTTATACAAGCATTCATTAATGCTGTTGTAATTTAATTGTAATTTTAGTTAATATTTTCTAATTGCATATATAGTCTTGGCATTATGTAGGTTCTTTTTTAATCAAATGTACCTCATAATACAAAAAGAATGCTGCAAACATGGAAAACTTGTTACCTGAAGGATTATATTTCCTAATGTTGTTTTTTTTTCTTCAGGTTTAAGCATCTAACCGGCTATGCTTGTTTGTATACAAAACTGCAGTGTCCCAGATTGTCACTTTATACTATCAACAGTGGCTAATAATAGCATACATTCAACTGTAGTAGAAATGAGTAACTGTGAAACTGTATAATATCCTAGGCTTTTATCAGGATCTTAAAGAGAGAATAGACAGAATATTTGTGAAGATAAATATATTAATAGATTGTCAAAGAACTCATTGTGCCATGTTTCATGTCAGTATGTGAAATTAGTTGTTTTAATACATTTTCATTATGCCATTTCAGTGTCCAATTGTGTGCATTGTCATGCTAATAAATCAATGGTTTTCAGTCTGAGGTCAGTGGACGTATAAAACGTGACATTTCTGACTACATAATTAGACATTAACTATGACCCGATAAACATTATATAATTCATGGGTCTAAAATTGTAAAAAAAAAAATAATGTTTTAATGAAATTAGATGGCTAAAGTGCTTGGGCTCCCTATGTCGTATAACTGAGTCTGCCGAACAATGTAATAAAATTAATAACAGTGTAAAGTGAATAAAGTCTCACAATAAAAGGCTTCATTAAGGATCAAGGGTTCATTAATTCTGTATTTATAGGATTCTGAGGATAAATTGGTATGAACAAAAAATAGTAACATTTATATATAATAGCTACAAAAATTTGCATTTTTTTGCGTTTGGTTTTGTGTATTAAATTTATTATATAAGCGTAATTATAAATAGTCCATGGGCGTCGGAAACGGATTTCAGATTTGCTATTGGTCGATCCAGGTGTCAATCATCTAGTAAAGTGGGCGGGATTAAAGGAAAATGGCGACTTTATCTGTCGGAGAGCCTCAAGAGATGGAAGGTGAGCTGATTTGTGTATTTTTAACGATTTATTTTTAACGGAGACTAAAAAAACCGTTTATTCATTTTGCTCTCTCACTTTATAACCAAGCTGAGTTTTTATTTTTAATCGGTTCATATATCAGTGTGCTCTTACCATTCATTCAGACTGCAATGTGTGATTGTTTACGTTTATCACACAGCTAACTAAAGCTACTCTTATAGTCTGCACGCATGAAATGACGATAAAGGCTGCTTCATTTCTTGGTTTCTCTTTGGAGTGTATTTAAATGCCAGACCTCTGTTCAGGTGTGTGTTTAGTAGTGGACGGGGCGTCAATGCCAGCACACCTTGCTGGTTAGCTAATGTAGCCCACCAGCTCACATTAAGTTACTTGTCAAAGTCTGACCTGTTTGGATGGATAAAGTGTAGGAGAACCTGAATGTGAGCTATCAGACGTGACAAATCGAGCTTTTCTCGACGCCTCCATTTGTTTCCAGCTGCTGTATCAGCAGTTTGCTAGCATGCTGCTGTTGTGGGATGAGGGTGTGTGTGTGGGATGGGTTCATCTAATAGATGGAGGCTTTGAAATTGTGCTTTCAGATTAAAATCGTGCTATCACGATTATTTGGTCCAGATAGCAGCAGTGGCATTTTGTAAGCCGGTTAGTATTGTGGGTGTGTCCTAATTATTAATTGTTATTCATAAAAACTGTGATTATAAAGTGGACCGGAGGGGTGAGTCTGAGGAATCTGGTGATGATGAGACCAAGAGGAAGAGTCTCAATGGAGAGGTCGACTCCTTGCAAGCCCCTTCGACTGGTGAGACCACCTTGGCGCAAGGAAAACAATTAAAAGGATGATCTGTATGATCTGTTTCCTTACCGCTTCTCTCGCTTCCCTTTTTAGTACCCGAGGAGTCACCTGTTGACATGGACACCATAACCTTAGATCCAGATGAAGAGGTGAAACATTCAGTTTTTGAAAGGTTAGACCAGGGGTGCCCAACCCTGTTCCTGGAGAGCTGCCTTCCTGCAGAGTTCAGCTCCAACCCTGATCAAACACAATTGAACCAACTAATTAGGATCTGAAGGAGCACTTGATAATTACAGACAGTTGTGTTTGATCAGGGTTGGAACTGAACTCTGCAGGAAGGCAGATCTCCAGGAACAGGGTTGGGCACCCCTGGGTTAGACGGATGATGTTATTAGCACTATGATTCATTGTGTGTTAATTATTTCTTTAGGATGTGGATCTGGTCCACTGTCGCATTGGGAAGATTGAGGGTCTGGAGGTTCTTCGGAAGGCAAAGGTGAGAGTATCAAATGCTGGGTGTTTTTGGGGGGTAATATAGTAGGGTTGTCTAGTTACTGGATGTAGATTTGCTTATTTGGAGTATCAATTAATTGTGCCCAATTACAGATCGTAAATTGAGTCCTTTTCTTTGTTTCTATCATCAGACGATTTCTCTGAGGCAAAACCTCATCAAACACATTGAGAACTTGGACAGCCTCGTCTCATTGAGGGAACTCGATCTTTATGACAACCAGATCCGCAAACTAGAGAATCTTCAGGCCTTAACAGAGCTCGAGTAAGTCAGACATGATGCTTATTATTTTGTACAGACCTTTGTTTCTCAAAAATACATGTTATTTATACACTGCTATTCAAAAGTTTGCATTCAGTGTTTTTTTTTTAGCAGTTTAGTAATAATGCATTCAAGTTGTCAAAAGTATCATATCATACAATGATTTCTGAATGATCGTGTGACAGCTGCAGAAAATTCAGCTATGCCATCAAAGGAATAAATTACATATTAAAATAGAAAAGAGTTCATTTTTAATTGTAATAGCATATCACAATATTGCTTTAATTTTTTCACGGTATTTTTTTAAATAAAATAAATGCAACTTTGGTGAGCAAGATACTACTGACCCCAAACATATGAGCAGTAGTGTACATACGCGACTTAACAGTGAATAAACCACATTTATGATAAGCATGTCAACCCTCTACATTACTAGTGAATAACTCGCATATGCGACTAAATCAGGCCCTATGCACACGAACGCGGTTATTTTTAAAACCGTAGCTTTTCTACGTGGTTAGGCCATTCGTCCACATGCAAACGCAGCACCAGCTCACTGAAACCGCACATTTTTGAAAACGCCTGCCAGGATGAAGATTTTCAAAAACTCCGGTTGCAGTGTTATCGTGTAGACAGCGAAAGCGGCATTTTTTTTGCTTGTGACGTCGGAGCATGCGCTGTTATCTCTGCCTACTGGAAACTTTTTTTGAGATTATATCGCCACCTGTTGGTTTGGCATGCTCTTGACAGTGCTTCATAGCATGCGCTTGCATTTTCATGTGGATGGAGATTTTTTTTTTAAATGGAAGAAGGAAAAACTCACTTATTATAGTCCATTTTGATTTCAGCAAATCAGTTCGAGCGAACGCACAACCTGGGGCCTCATGTATAAAACTCTACGTAGATTTCATCCTAAATGTATGCGTACACGCACAAGCTAGATTTTGCGTATGTACAAAAGTTTTCAGATTTATAAAACCATGCGTTCGCCAGAAACTTTGTAATACCCAGTCAGCGGAAGATTGTGCGTACATGAATCTCCACCCCGTCTCCTCCCCGAAATAGCCATATGTGGAGCTTACAACACCTAGTTTTAATATGCGTAATGTAATCTGCATATAATTTCCATGCATATTCCATCCACGTGACACCAGGTTTAACGCCGTTAAGGGTACAATACATCAGGAAAATCTTTTAAATATGGTGTTTTGTTGCAATATTGGGAAGATCATGAAAGGGGTTATCATTAGGCTACTGTCTGTGCGCAACACCTGTGAACAGAGGGTCTAGAGTACTGTCATCAAATTTGTTCAAACCAGCCAATGGACTGTTCGATCAACGAGCACATCCTTATATCGGTCATTATCGTCTATGTTCTAAAGCCAACAAACAAAGTCAAAGTTCACAAAAATGATGATTATTATTTGCGAAAAAGTATTTTCTCAGAACATGAGTTTTGCTATTTAGAACACAATTTAAAGTGGAATTAACATGTGCCAAGCAATCCTCGCTGTGATTAAAACATTAAATTGCATACCACAGGAAAATAGTTCGAAAGCAGCACATCCACTGCAAATATTTTTGTTTAAATTCATATAAAAATGTTGTAACTTCTGGATAATTTCATGAAATTTCAGTGCTTCACTTCATTGAGTGTCATAAATGTGTATGTCAAATGTAAAACAGACTTTAAAATCATTCTGTTTGCTTTATTTCGCTAATAGAGTGCGTACGCATGGTCTAGAGCAGGGGGTGCCCAATCCTGTTCCTGGAGATCTACCTTCCTGCAGAGTTCAGCTCCAACCCTGATCAAACACAATTGAACCAACTAATTAGGATCTGAATGAGCACTTGATAATTACAGACAGGTGTGTTTGATCAGGGTTGGAACTGAACTCTGCAGGAAGGTAGATCTCCAGGAAGAGGGTTGGGCACCCCTGGTCTAGAGTGTTCATACGGTGTGCACATATTTACTCACACCGATATGTGTGTGGAAAATTGCAAACTTACATTTCCATGCCCATTTTGTGCATACGCAACATTTATACATCGGGCCCCTGATTAATATTCATGAATCCAGCAGGTCGTTAATCCTTAGTGCATTTTATATTGTTCTTAGAATTCATAGTATTATTATTATCTTAAGTATTATTGTTAGTTTTTACCCCTTTTTTTTTTTTTTACAGAAACACTGAATGGCCAAAAAAGCACCACTACCAGTCCTAAGTTCAGTTAAAATTACTAATATGCATTCATACATGGTTACCAAGTTTAAATTCTAATTACTAAAGTTCTATCATTAAATAATACTTTTACTATATTACAGATATTTAAAAAGCTGTGTATACTGTATATATATATATATATATATATATATA